GTTAGGCTGCTACGGATAGTGTTCCCAGATCTGAAGCAGGTCCTGATGTTTTACTTGGATCTAATCCTTCTTATCCTTTCCGATAATCCTCTGACGCAGGGAAGTACAAGTACTGGTTGTGCCGGCTTCTCTACCTTGTGGGCCTCTTGCTGTCGGTGAAACTAAGAGACCATTGAAATTGTATGATGTTCGCATTGCTGAGCACAGCAATGCGAACATCATACCTGGATAACATCATACCTGAAAAACAAAACAAGACGACAGTAGTGACTAATGTGAAATCAAGTTCAAGAAAAATAAATATAGGAGTTCCACAGTGTTCAATCTTGGGACCACTATTGTTTATAGTCTTTCTTAGTGACATTAATGACACCTGTATTCTCGTTCATCAAATGATAATATATGCTGAATATACTTTTCTGTCACTCAACATTTCAGTAGATCTCGCAACAAAAATATTTCTATCCAGCACTACTGTTACATTGCCCTTGTCAGCTTTAGTGATTGATATCTGTGGAAACAGCTACAAATCAACTCCTAAATTTTGTGTATTCAGACCAGAATAAATATGTCGTCTCAGTTATGTTCGATCTGTCCAAAGCCTTCGACAGTATTGATTTAACAATTGTCAGGGATAAACTTTATCACCTAGGTATCAGAGGAAGCATGTTGGATTGGATTGAATCTCACTTGCAAAATCGATCTCTTATTGTAAAGGTGGGCACACATCTGTCTAGTAGATCAAATATTTCGTTGGGAGTTCCGCAGGGATCTGTTATAGGCCCGCTAATTTTTTATTATACATTTACGATTTGCCGTGTCATATCAGTAGCGGTAGAGTAGTTATTTTTGCTGATGACACAACCGTCACTATATCAGGCCAGACCACGGAACTTCTGGAAAAAGTGTACTCGACATTAGAAGAGATGGACATCTGGTGCAAAAAAAATCGTCTTGTCTTAAATACTAAAAAAACTGAGTACATAAATTTTCATTCTAGATCTATGCCACAAAACCTGGTTATACCAAATGTCCCTTTTGCAAAATGTCTGAGACTTCTTGGAACCCATCTAGATTGTGACCTAAAATTTAGTTCACATATAGACCATGTATGTTCTCAAATAAATAAGGCTTTTATATGATCTTGCAGATGAAGTATGTGCTTAATAGAGAGAAACTTCTTGATATGTATTACGCTTTTGTCTAAAGTCATTTAGCTTATAATACGGTATCGTGGGGAGGGGCATACGACTGGAACAGAGATTTCTGAGCTCAAAAGCGTATAGTGAGGTTGATCTTCAACTTAGATTATCGGGAAAGTTGTAGACATTGTTTCACTGAAAATAAAATTTTGACTTTTCCGTGCATTTACATTTTGAAATGTGTCACTTGAGTCAAAAGTGTTCAAGAGGAGTTTCAACAAACAATTAGTAATAGAAACAATAATGTGATTGTACCAATACATCGTATATCATTTTATGAAAAATCACAGCACTATGCGGCAGTTACTCTGTTCAATTCACTACCAAAACCATTACAAATGTTGATAACTTATGAGGCTTTCAAAACTGGCGTTAGTAGGTACTTGGTGTCGGAAGGATTTTATAGTGTGAAAGAATTCTTAAACAGGTAATTTTGCCCAATTATATTTTTTTAATGTTCAATTATATTTTTAAATTGTTGGTAATGTAATAATTCTGTGTTATTTATTCGACAAATCATAATTATGTTTTTTGTATATACCTACATATTTATGTGTTCCTTTATGGAATGTTACTTGTAAGACGTGCCTATGTACTTTGTATGACAAAGGGTGAAAATAAATGACTATGACTATGACTATGACTATCAAGGTGTTCTTTCGAAAATATTCGTGTATCTCTTATATCATTAAAACGTTTTTTATGAGTATTATTGTTATCATTGAAATGTTTGTTACAATTTGTATAGTTGGTTGAAATGTTAACTCTTTTATTGCGTTTTTCAATTTTTTTTTCGTTTGATTGCAGGACATTGATGACATTTTCAACATCTATTAATATTTCTCTAAGGGGAAAATTATTTTTTTGACACGGCAAGTTGAATTTTTCGCCCATGCTAAGTAAATGTTGAACATTACCTGGTATTTCATAACTGAAATTATTGATTAACCATTTCTTGTTAATTTCGATTGGTATCTCATTGTTATGATTGCATATTAGTTTTTTAATTTTGTTCAGATGTGCAATTTAGTTCTTTTAAAAATTGTATTGCATAATTTATTTTGGCTAGAGTCATACGTTTGAAATGTTGTGATAGAAATTGATGTTTGTTCTCTTAACCATATTTTGAATAATGATGGAGAATAGTAATGGCTAAAGTATGAATCCTTGTGACACCCCTGACATTATAGGCAAGGCATTTGATCTATTATGTCCATCTAGACAAACTGGAGGAGTTCACTCTGATAGCAATCGGAGAAATAGCTCATCAGATTGAAACACTGTGTTTTTAATGTTATCGATAGTATTATACAATGAGTTATCATCTTTTTTGTAAATAGTACCTAATGTTTTTTCAGTTCACCTTAGTTTTTGAAAACATTTAATAAGACTTAAGTAGGTACATATTTTTTGTTGAATAATCAACCGTTTAAAAAACTATTTTTGGCTGCAAAATGCTTAGAGGCGGAGCTCCATACATGAAACAATACTCCAAAGAGGTCTAATCGGAGCTCTATAAAGCATCAAAAGTTGCCGAGGTGTGTACAGTTTTCTGGTTCGCAACAGTTTCCAAGCTTTTGAAAAGCAGTCTTTGCAATTCTAGCGACATGATTGTGCCAGGAGATACCTACTAGTGTTTAATTTGACCCCAACAAACTTATCGAAGCAGAAAGCGGACATGTCTGTCCTGGAGAAAACCGATGCCTGGGTTTTCATTGTATTAAATTGAACCTTCATTAGATTTGATACAAATTTATTTTTCTGACAATCAACAATCATACCAATATAATAAACCAAAATGATATTGAATAGGTACTATTTTTATCAGAGAGATTCGAGAAAATCTTCAAACTGTTCATTTTTATCAATTCAACAGACTATTTGGAAACAGAACAAAATGAAGTCAGTACCAATCTTTTCCAATCCTAGAATAGTTTTCTACTTTGTGGTAGCCATGTATAATTTTTGCGTGGTCATCGAATTCTTCAGTTACTCTATATTTGCTGGAAAGTTGAGATCATGAAATTAGAATCCAGCTTCAACCGCACAAAACAAAACCCCAAACATCCAAGCATCCCTTGGACACTCTCCATTCTCCACCCTGTATCTGCACACCCAAGCCACCCCGCCGAAGTGTCATTCTCACTATCGCAAACACAATCCCAACAAATCGTCAGCAGACCTTAAAAACGCGATAGCGGCAATCAGCGTGAAAACTTGACAATCAAAAAGTCGAGAATCCTATCAAAAGGAGTACACTCGTTGCCACGCAACTGGCTCCTAATATTGGGGTGAGAGGCGTGGCCTAGCGGCCGCAGCCCAATCGGATCTAAGAAGCGACGCGCATCGCGCTCGCCGTGTAATGTACACTTCTAATGTAGCTGTAATGTTGGGTATTATTGGTATAATACATTTCAAATCGGTTAGTTCGTCGACAAGGAAGCTGGCGCTGACATAATCGACGATTGACAGTCTACAGTGCGGCGTGACCGCGAAGAGTCGGTTAAAGTGTGTTTAGTGAGCACAATTCCCGCCAGATGGCCCAGTACTTGGAGGACCACCACAACATGATGTACCAAAGCAAACCCCTGAACATGGATACCAAAATACCAGAAAACAAACCCTCGTTTTGCATTGACGCGCTTCTATCGAGAACCACAGACAGACCGACGTCACCCGATACCTCCCGAAGCATCTCTCCAACCTCCACGAGGAGTAGGAGCCCCCCCATTTCTCCGGGGAGCGAGGACGTGCCTCCTACAACCTTCGTCCCCAGGCCGGGGCTCCTGAACCACATTTATCCTAACGGGGGAGGGTTCTACGGGTACCAAGGGCAGACTCAAGGTTCTGCGTTCCATTCTTTGGATGCCGGAATGGTGCAGAAGGTTCACCTGCCTGTAGGCCCCCACAACCAGAGCCATCTGCACCAGATGCAGCTGGAGTGGTTCGCGAGGACGGGAATGTTCTATCCGAGGTTGCCAGATCTTTCAGGTGAGTTGTAGTACTTTGTTCTGAGCCATGCAGTAAGAAAATGTTTAATGATTATTGAACAAGCAGCAGCCACTCACAGGTGACTAGATAATGACGCAGTGGACGCTTTGTGAATTTTCTTCACCGTTTCTGGAGTCGTCTCCTCATTTGGTAGACCACTGCGATTCTCGTCTTGACATCAGCTCCTACGACTTCCTTAAAACTCTGCTACCCAATATTTTACTGTTTTAAACCAGAAAGCAGACTCAACCAGAGGAGAAACTAGTTCAGCTTTCATATTGGTTGGGCTGAGGCCCTCCAAATAAAGGTATTGTGCCATATACGATGACCAATTTTCTTCATTTTCACAAATTCGCCAAAAACTTCGCTATTGATGCCTGCCAAACAAATACTAAACAACGCAGCGTCTTCTAACTTGAAACATATGCTTTATAGTGATACAGTGATATTTTCCAAATAACTACCGTCATTTTTAGGTCAGGCCGAGTACTTCTCGGGACACCCTGGTAGTTTCTAACAAAACCTCCCAGGAATTTGTAATGTGACAAAGACATTAATATTTTTCAAAAGTAGAGTAGTTTGGGACCCAAATAGCTTTGTCACATCAATTTGTAAGAGGTGTGGTAGATGAGTGGTCGAAGTCTGAGATTGTAAACTAATGATTCTGAGGTCAAATCAAACCAAATACAGTTTTTTCGAATTTTTTTGCCACTCAATTTTCAAACTAGTTGGAACTGAATGAAATAATGATAGGAAGTCTTTTTGGATTTTGCATTCCGTGGCATTCCGTGATTTTTCACAATTCTGGCAATGATTTGATCACACTGTCCGTGTATAATAAATAATTTCATAAGAACTTCGTTTGAATAATCGATATTTGCAGTCATTTTGGAAGATGATTCGAAACACCGTCGATAACTCTTTGTAAATTACTTATAAAAAACACGCAAAACTTTCATACCTCTCACCAGCAAACTAAACATGTCAAACAGCTGAAACTCTTTACAAATGTTTGAAACAAGTGTACTAACGTAAAAAAATTAAAAAATCACTAATCGAATGTACTTATAGCCCGCGAAATTTGAATACTTTGAATCCTTTATAAACTAATGAAATCGAAATTAATTAGCATCAATAGGTTAATTCTGCTATCTTGGTACTCGAATAAATTATTTCATTTTGAAAGAATTATTAATATTAAGCTCCAAAATATTAACTTTGATATAAAATACACAGATCCTTGTGATTTTTCAAATACTTTTAGAGGTAACTCAGCATTGGCCAGTTTTTGAATAACGTACTGTATATTGTCATCGAGATGAAAACTCATGAAGTATGTGTGATAAAAAAATGTTTTATCTTAACTTTCCGTACCGATTCTTATAAACCAGCTAATCTCCTAATACAAATCCATCAATCAATGATTTTCAATGCAATAATCAATATTTTGAAGGCTAGGATTTGAAATAATTCCAATAAGAATTGATATTTTGAAGGAAATATTCCATTGTATATTTTTCGTAATAGGGTTTTTTTGTTATTTCAAAATCCTTCATGATGAGTCAAATTATTTCGAGAAAGTAGTTTGAAATAGCAAATACAAAATTGTTCGATTTTGGAATCAAAATTTCAAATAAACAAAACCTCCACAAAAGTTCGACAGAAATCTCTACAATTGAACTACCAAGTCCACTTGGTAGTTTATTCTGATTGTATTTGGTGGTTAATGCTTTCGCTATTATTCTCATGATCATGTCTGAAAGAAACAATATGAGGTGTGCTGCAGGGAAGTATTTTAGGACCCTTGATGTTTTCAGTGTTTATTTGTGATTACCCCACTTTCTCATCACATTTTCAAGTACATCTATACGCAGATGATATACAGTAATATTTGTCTTCTCATAAAATCGATACAGAAAGTTGCGTGGCCAATATAAACACATATTTGCATAAAACATTCCTATATTCGGAGAATCATGGACTAAAAATCAATCCAAATAAAACTTTGGCCTTAAGCATAGGGTCTCAAAGGCAAATAGCAGAAACTCAGTGTAACTTTAGGCTCACTCTCGATAACGCAGACATTGACTGGGTATACGGTGATAAAAATCTTGGAGTAACCATAGATAGCTATTTGTCTTTCCATGAACATGTGACAAATAGTTTCAAAGTATCATTCTTCAAACTCAAATCGCTACAAAATTCAAGTATCAGTTATCAGAAGAAATGAAACTCAGGTTAGTTAGAACTCTTATTTACCCCCATAATATAACAAGCAGAAGTTACAACGTATACAAAATGTTTGAATGCGATTCGTATGATGCATACCATATGGTGACCATGTCACACCATTTTTGTTAAAAATGAAGTAGCTGAATGTGAGGTATAGAGTCCAAGATTTGATAAAAATGGTTTTGTGTAAGTTTCTTCGAACTAAAAATCCTAGTTATTTATATAGTTTATTAAGCAGGCATTCTGACATACATATGGTCAATGTGAGAATTAACTCATTCAACATACCTAGGCACCGTACTTCCAAATTTCAAGGATGTTTTTCTTATATAGCCCCTTCCTATCTGAATGAAATTTTACCCCTTTCAAATCATGATATTCATCAATTTAAGAAAGAAATAAAATCACAGATGCTTACAACTCGGTGCTGATTCAAAAAATTCAAAATTCAATGTATGGTAGTGCAGTTAAATTGTTAAATTGACCAAAATAATGTCAAGAATATTAAGAGTTATTGGCAACTATATGATCCATTATTTTTTCTCTTCTCTATCATTGTTATGATAGTAAATGAGTATTTTTATAATTATTTTCTTACAGTCACTGTATAATTTTTGGGAGGGGAGGAAGATAGCCTTTGGCTAACCCTTTTCCTTTCATGTATAAATGTATTTTTTATGCATAATAAACGATATTATTATTATTATTATTCTAATTTTAAGCAGCAGAATGTAAGATGTTGATAATATTGGTTCTTTCTCTCTGGTCACACGGTTCTCAAACCCAATGGTCACTCACTCTACAGTTTTATGCGTTGATGCCGGATCGCCCTTCCTCGAATATTTCTCTATGATTTCTACAAGCTGCCAAATCAATAAAAAACGTTTCCCACACCAGAACTAAAACACTGTCTTCCGATACGCGTTTCGTTAACTAAAGTAACGGAAAACATCACCAGAAGATAACTGAAACTAAATCCCTACGACTGAGTCAATAATCTGGACGAATCATTGGATTCGTTCTCAATACTTCTTAATATTTTCCTCTTATAGTCTGGTTCACATGTACTCGATTTAGCTCTTTTTGGTGACATTTTTCAGCCCTGTCCAAAAATTACGAGCGGGTACCAATCCTCTTTTTAGTCTGACCGATATAAACATATCAAGAGCCAGTTTAAATAATCTATGGTAATAGCTTATTGAATAGTTTCCTACCAAAGAAAATCAAACAATCTTCCCACAGAATATCTTGCTCTAGTTTTATTTCTCTATCTTGTTTCGCAATAGATTATGAATTTGCCCTGTGTCGAATAACTGGAACTTTTTGAACAGATGATATGTGTGGAATGATTTTTTTCGAAAAAAGTGTTTTGATTTCTATTTCTCCATCGATCTACGAAAATTTTGAGAAATTTCCGAAGTATGAAGAAAGCAGTCGAGTTCAAAATAAACTAGAAGTTACTCTTAGATAAAATCTGGAAGATAAAGCCTTCCCAAAATAACTACTTTCACAAGAACATTGAATACGGTTGCACATCTTCACCAGCATCAAGAGGTTGCAGATCCTCATGATCTAGAGGTGCTAGAGTGCTTGTGTTCTGTTCTCAAAAGAATATTCAAAAAAAGGGGTAAAGAGTTTATTCTCAACTTTCAAAAAAATACCCTTTCAATTCATATGAAAATCAAGTTGACAACTAAAAAATATAAAACATGACTTCATCAACTATCTTTCAAAGTCTATCTAACGACCGCCGTTCAGAGTGAACAAGTTTCATTTTTTTCTCTTACTGTTGTTCACTGAATCTATAGACTTTACCTAATTGGAATTGGTGTAACGCTAATAGAGGTAATTAGGAAATGAGCTGTTTGCTCATTATTGAATGCATCGGTGAAGTCAGGAGATTTTGTTGGACAATTCATTTGTTCAAATAAGCAGTGAATGTCTGAGGGACGGGGCCAGTGGTAGCTCGAAATATTTTTATATGAAACCATCACGAATGACTACATTACCAGTTTGCCACGTACAGAGATACATAAAATAGTGTATTGATAATATTTCTGTGTCTATACATATATAGTTATTAACCTCAAATAGTGCTCCGTTATTATATAAATATATCTTTAAATCGAAAAACAAACTGACCATATGTATGTGTATATGTGTATGTATGTATATATGCGTATATGTGTGTATGTGTGTGTATATGTATATGTATATATATATATATGTATATATGTGTATATATGTATTTTAGCTAATGTAAGTGTAAATAAGGATATATCTAGGGTTGAATATGAATGTTGTATTTTTATTATTTTATTAGTTTTCTTTAAGTGACTTTAACTTTGATTGTAATTTTCACAGTCACACACAAACTGGAAACAGTTTATGTGACTTCTTAGTTTATTAACTTAACATATTTTTCAAATCATTGAAATCGACGGCTTTTGGAAATTATCACAGTGCCGCATTCAAAATTGGGAATGATAAAAAAAAAAACGTATTTTCTAACGTAACGTAACGTATTTTTCTCCACGGTATGTTTGTAAACCAATATTTTGCAATGATAATTAGCAATAATTTTTATTTTATTCTCCCTTCGTTTCAGAAACAGGAACCAAGATTGAAAATTTTATCAAACAAAAAACTGAAATTACTAAGAAATAACATACAAGCAACAACCAGGAAAATGAAAAATTGAAATGATTATGAAAGCTGAAAATGAAAAAATTAAAATATGTATTTTATTAACAAAAATTGAAAAATGA